ATTTACAGCAGAAATCAACAAGTCAAGTCTGAGTCATTTGGGCTGTTGACTCGAGTCATTTTTCGTACAAGACTCGCAAAAATTTGTGACTCGAAGTCAATGACTCGTTACAACACTGGCCCAGACAGACAACACTTCAGACGCTTAACCGATCATTGCTTACAAAGATGTTATCCAGTGCTTCATGGGGTCTATATTTGTATTAGTATGTTTTTGCTCCATTCAATTTGCTGTTTGCATTCAACAATATTAAGTTAGAAAACTACAAATAGTGCCTTGCATCTAAACAAATAGGGATTAAGGACTTGTACAAAGATTTATACATATTTGGCATGCTCAAAGCGCAAAATATTTTGGTACAATCAGCCGCAGCTTTATATATATATCTACTTCCTATATTAAATACAAAATACGAAAACACCATTTAAATGTCATTAAATACAGGGAAATAATACAAGAAAAACACTAAGTTATATTAATACTTAAGTTGATATGCTATAAAACTGGAAAACAGTATCCACTATACTAAAACCTGTCGATATATACGCCAATTTGACACTGATCGAATTACTTCAATGCGCAACATGGCAAAAAGCAAGACAAAACACTACGAGTTTATACCTGATTTTCGCTTCGAGAAAAAGGGCATTTGCGACGTTTGACAGCATAGGTGCCGAGCAGTAGAGCCACATGAAGTTCTAGCCTTGTTTTATCGCAGAAAGAATTATGAATTTCATTTAAATTTCAAATATTTCGATGCCATTTCTTTCAAAACGTCTATTCAGCTCTCTGTCAAGGCTTCAAGTTTCAGTCTCATGGCAGCAAACGCTGGTTGGGAGAATAGCGGACTCAGGTCTTGAGTATTCAATTAAACGCCTCCTTCCATTAAACGCCCTCATTCGATTAAACGCCTTCTTTAATTAAGCGCCGTCTTGAATAATTATTGTGCCAATGTTATTATTATACTATGATTGATTTTAAAAACATATAGTCCCAACACCAGCTTATGCCAACCCCAAGTTGAGACTTCTGCCACACCCTTTTGGTCAGGAAAAAAAACTCCCCCCCCCCAGCAATAATACTGAAGTTTTGCCCCTACCATTAAAATGGTCAACTCTTTACTACAGCCACTTTCTTTGCCCCCCCCAAAAAAAAAAGACAGTACATAAAGATACCCTGTTAAAGATGCAGTACAGTCCGTATGTAAACAAAGGCTTTGTTTACATTTCGGTATCCAAAATATTGAATTTTATTGGACAACTATTTATATTTTCATGATTCTAGAGTATAATAAATTATCAAGAGACAACAATCAAGCTTTGCAAGAACATAAAATGAAATAAAAACCTAAATAAACTGTTTGTAAATAACAAGGGGGCTCCTTTGTGCTCATGCGCAGATCGCACTGTACCGCATCTTTAACACATTGAGCGCTGTGCTCTTCCCTTGGTGAGTAAAATCGTCTGGCATTAGACAGAGTAAAGGAATGAAGTAGGGCACACATTAGAAAACAAATGTATATGAACTTTATTGTTTTCAAAATTGTAAACTAAAATAGACAAGAAACTTCAATCTGTAGATTTAGTAAAATTGAGACACAATTCATGATCCCTGGTGTCTCCCCAGCCGCCATTTGCCTGACCAATATGTCCTGGAATCCATGGGCGCGCTACTTCAATTTCCAAACTCGCAGGGTCTAGCACAGCTTTGCTTCGATCTATCACCTCTTGCACTTGAGCCAGTACGGTCTGAATGTTGCAGTCTCTGTCTTTGTGATGTAAACCACACGTCCCAAGATGAAACACACGAGGCGCAAGGAAAAGTAGAACTGTTAACTGCTTTTGTAAACATCGTAAACTTATTCTCATGAGAGTCCAGTCCCAATTGTAATCATCATAGGTACAAAACATTTCCCTACATTTTGTGATATCCGTCCACATCTCTCGATCAAATGCCATCCCCATGTTATTCTCTGTCGATCGCCAGGGTTGAATTTGTAACACTTGGCTACCAACAGTCTGAAAATTTGTAACGGTTTTATAATCACCGAGTGTTATAATATTACAACCGTATTCCTGACATTTGGTGTCTGTCTTCTTTACATGATAAGCTTTCTTTAGCACTTCATAAAAATCAGGTGCAACGCAGTGGTCTTCTTCTAGTAATAAAACCAAACCATTGTGGTTTTTGGTTGCCTGAAGTTCTTTGAAAACTCTGTTGGCTTTCCACCACCAATGGTGTTTGGTCATGGTGAACTTAACTTCTCGGTAGTGACCATACTTATCTGGATGTTCGGCATTTATGCACCCCATTGCACGGGCCTGAGATCTTGACATGTCCCTCGGACAATCGTTAGGGTCCGACCCTGGGAATTTATCCGGGTAAAGTTGTTCAGAATATGGAAAGAAAATCTGCAGGACTTGACAGAAATCGATACCTTGTATTATGTTGTTTATTTCAGAAGCGTAATAATCATGGCTTATTATAAGCAGAGCGTCTGAAATCCCTTTCGCCTTTCGGAGCGAGTCAATAAGTTTCAGTAAATAGTTTGAACGTTTGTGAACTTGAACCACGATAACGACACTATCTTTACTTCTTTTAGGGAATTTACGCACGTTTAGGATATATTGTTTGCTGTTCAAAAACTTCACCGTTTCTCGTAAGTCTGCCAAGTTGCCGTATTTATCCAGCTTTGCGATTGGTTTATTATTGTTCGATTGAATAGGTTTAATATTGTTCGATTGAATAGGTTTAATATTGTTCAATTGAACAGGTTTAGCATTGATTGACGCAGTCTCTTTCCTGGGAACTATATCGTTTCCTTTGGTAGTCTGTCTATTATAAAGTACAGCTTCTTTTGTAAATATATCATCAAGTTCTAAGTTCTCAACCCTAGAATTCCCAGCATTTTTCAGCAATAAAACCACCACACAAAGACATATTAGTATAACAAGTGCACGGATAAAACTAAGTCTGTTTCGCTTGCACATTCGTAGCCCAAACATACTGAAGTCTTGTGCTGAAGTTTTAAAGGTTAATATAGTCCAGTCAAGTCTATTATGTACTCTAGTACTTACAGTTGAAAATAGCGATAAATCTAACGGAAAATTCGCTACCTTGTCAGTCTTTATCTTCCATTGTTTTCAGTAACTAATTCCAGTGTTCAAATATCTAAATAAATTGGAAAATTGGTCAATAATTGTGCAGTTTTTGACCTGAATTTTTAGCTTTATTTTTTTTATTTGTAAATTGTAACTTTATTGCCCGAACGCAGGCTGACCCTAAAATTAGGGCCCCATTCTGTGTCCATGATGACGTAATATGACACGTGTCAACCGCATGGTCAAATATAGACATAAATTTATTATTGAAAACATACAACAAATTAATTATGTCGGTTGTTACTATACAACTTGGACAATGTGGAAACCAAATTGGTTTCGAATTTTATGATTTACTTTCTAAATCTGCCACAAAACCGAACCACGCACCATCATCCAGTTTCCATAGCGATGACTACTCAGATTTGGTGTCCGAACGATTCTTCCATGTTAACGAAAAGGACAAGATGTTTGCCAGGGCAGTTATGGTCGATATGGAACAGAAGGTTATTGGTCAAGCACTTCACGACACACAGCGGCAGTCGCTGTGGGGTTACCACAAAGATGCACAGGTTACCGGCAAAAAGGGATCCGGGAATAATTGGGCGCAGGGCTACTGTCACCATGGTCCAAAATGCATCAGCGATGTTCTGGATACGGTTTCCAAGGAGGTTGAACAATGTGATAGTCTAGGTGGATTTTTAGCTCTGATGAGTTTGGCCGGGGGTACTGGGTCAGGGCTAGGGGCATTTGTAACAACAGCCCTAAAGGATGAGTACCCTCATGCCACTATTGTAAACAATGTTATATGGCCCTACACCACGGGAGAGGTGATTGTACAGAATTACAATGCGGTGCTTACGTTATCACACCTGTATTCCACCTCGGATGGTATAATTGTTATGGAAAACGAAAAAATGCAAAAAATCTGTTCACAGTTGTTAAAAATCAAGAATGTCTCATTCAAAGACATAAACAAGGTCGTTGCTACCAAGTTAGCTGGTGTATTTCTGCCTGCTTGCGACACAAGTGATTCCACTTGTTTGTCAAAGTTTGTAGTTGCAGATATTCTGTCAAATGTATGCGCCCATCCTGGGCATAAATTATTGAACATATTGAACATACCAGTAGTTCCAAAGACTTCACTGGCATATACATCATATAATTGGAACATGTTGGTCAAACATTGCAGGCAAATGTTGATTGCGAATGCTAATATGGAGGAAGGTATCACATGTATAGAACTGCATATTATCAATGTTGTGATATTTTTAATCCCAAATTTTGAACTTGTTCCCAACGGCTTTGACCTCTCCCATAGCTCATTCTGTACCAGGCTGAGCAGATTCTTTGCTAATTCCCTCTCCCTCAATGCTGCTCCCCCTTCTAAACCCTGCTCTCCCCCTAATCTCTGCTCCCCCATATTGTTTGTCAACAGCCATCTCAATGGAGTGAATATGACCCTGCCCTCCCCCCTTTGCAACAACAGATATTCTCTTGTCACCTTCAAAAAGTTACTTTACACCCCCTCCCCTGCCTGAGGATTATGTGAACACTGTTCTATTTGCCACTTCCCCCCCCCCCCCCCCATTCCATATCCCCTATAACTATCATCATCCATGAATACCCCTATGCCAATCTTCAATCATACCTCACATATTGACAGCCTGCTGGCACCTGTCTGCAGACCAATTACATACCCAATTCACCTGACAAACTCTTGTTACTATCTTTCAGGTGTAAACTGGTCTATCAAGCTTCCAAAAGCAGCCAAGCCAGTGTCAGAGACTGAAATGACCAATCAGACATCAACTTTCAACAGGTCGTTATCCAATCAGATTTTCCTCCGTGGAAAAGATGCAAGCACAGTGGACCTCTCCTCCTTTGAAGACTCCCAGCTTTATACATCCTGGGTTCCATCTTATGGCAGATTCCACTCGGCTTGGCAAAGGAATAGTTACAATGAAATTGAGCAATCAGTAACATTGCTTAGTAATTCACAAACTCCACTAAAACCTCTGGATGCAGTAGTTAGCAAAGCTTGGAATATGTTTGCATCCAGGGCTTATGTTCATCAGTATGCTAAGCATGGCATAACTGACGATGACTTTGTTGACAGTTTTGTAGCCTTAGAGCAAGTAGTTAAGAATTATTCTAATTTGTAAATACGTACTTATAAACAACAGTTAGTTAAAGGCACAGTTCAGCCTTTTGAACGATGGTTTTTAAGGCGCATTTCAGCCCTTTTAATTAATTGAAAAAACTAACTAGGAAAATCAATTAAACATAATTCAAAATCAGTAAACTCTATGTTTTTAACAATAAAAATGTTTTAAAATGTTAAAAACATTAAGTTTAGTGAACTTGAATTATGCTCAATTGATTTTCCTAGTTAATTTTTTCAATTAAAAGGGCTGAAATGCGCCTTAAAAACCATCGTTCAAAAGGCTGAACTGTGCCTTTAAGACTCGTGCCAGCTTGTCAATAATTATTGTTTATTTGTAAACAATTAAGGCGCCGTTGTTTTATTAAACAGTTTTCAAGAAAATATGCATCACCACGTTTGAGATATCTTTTTCAGGTAGTTCAGACACAAACCATGAAAGCTTATATATTGTAGAATACTACCTACACTGGACCACCACGTTTGAAATACCTTTTCAGAATTCAGGTAGTTCAGACACAAACAACGGTAGCTTATTGTAGAATACCACCTACACTGGTCACCATCTTGCAGAGCTGTACCGCTTCCTGAAACTCGTCAATAAACACACCAAGTGAACTTCTGAACTATGGAAAAGTTTTAATGCAATGTTATAAATACATTACTAACGTACAGTATATATCAAATCACATGATACACTGCTTGCAATAATAATTCAGGGTTCGTACATGTCAGAGAGAGAGTCAAATTCAAGGACTTTCCAAGGACATTCAAGGCCATGTATCGGCAAAATCAAGGACTAAATACTGAAAAGAAGGCGTTAGAAAATCAGTAAAATCTGACGTTGAATTGTTCAAAACGCAACTTTAATGAGTTTCAAACAGCTTTGACAGATATGAACATGCAAAATCAATTCAACAAAATGTCCGTTTTTGAATGTCAGACAATTTCAGAAAATATTCATAAACTAAAGCAAGGACTAATTTCAAGTATTTCTTTACAAATTCCAACACATTCAAGGCCTTGAATTTTTGTTTTCAAATTCAAGGACATTCAAGGACTTTCAAGTTTTGTACGAACCCTAAGGCGTAAGATTAGTTACAAGTTAATTGCCTTCATCAAAGCAAACGTAAAATTATAAAATAGTTGATTCCCCTATGTTTGCTAGAATGAATATATCAACCATATGCCTCCAGTATTAATAATTAATCTTTTAGTGCTAATTAGTGCTAATCAAATAGAGTTGAGTGTTATCTTATTGAATATTGTTCTACGTACTGTATCATCATAAACTCTCTTGCAAAGCGATTTCTGACACAGAGAAATCTTACACATAGAAAATTATTCACAGAAAAACGGTGAGCATGGCATTCATTTTTCCATTTCTGTTACCACACAAGTAAAAATCTCGCAACTTGTCAACAAGATGTGCTCGCAACAGGCCTGTAGCAAGCTTGTCAACAAGTTGCAACAATGCTGTTATTTTATCAAGTTGCTACAAGGTTGTCACTTACAACTTGTTGACAGATTGCTGAATTGCAGGACGATAACAAGCTGTTGGAACAACTTGTAACAAGTCTGTTGAGCTCAACAACCTTTTAGCAACTTGTCAACAAGCCGTTGAAAAACTTGTCAACTTGTTACAACTTGTGCGTTTTTACGTGTGTAAGTAAAAACGGTACTGTAGATATCGGCTTTGGAGACCTTTATCTTGCTACTGATGATCTAATTATACAAAGGTGTTTTGTACTATCTAATATAACTGTATGATTTCGCAAATGTCTCCATATGTAACAAAATAAAGGGCTCTGAACCCAATATCACCAAAAAACAAATTGGACAATTTGGCACACGGTTCAGAATTTGTATGGGCTCAAATAAATGTGTTCACCGTTTTTCTAATGACATGGTTATAATATATAGGGCCATTTATACGAGAGAAGAAAATAAGCCGCGAACGACTCGTATAAACAATGAAATTGCAGTGAGCCGTGGCTTATTCGGGCCTAGCTTTCAACACTGGGTTTATTTCAGCCACGGCTCGCAAACAAATGGACTGTATGCGAGTCATTCGCGACTTATTTAAGGTTTTGGCTTATTTATGCCGCGGCTTATTTTCGCTCAGAGAAACGGCTCTAATATGTGTGTGTAACATACAACATCGACGTTCGGCTGTTCCGGTGAGCTCTAAATGTATCTACAGCAAGAACTTCACTCATTCGTTTTAATTAATACCATGTATTTCCAAGATAATTGCAGCTTTTTCTAACGAACCTTACCGCTAAACAAGTTATTAGTTCAAAGTATCATAATATTTGTCTTTATTGTCGATTTCAAGTCACTTTTCAACGCGCGGGTCCCAAGTTCGTTGCGAACTTGCCAATTACGTTTCCAAGTTCGGAAATTGGGCGTGAACTTCGCAACAAAGTTCGCAAGTTCATTTCAATGTTTGAACTTCGTTTTGTAAACAAATGTTCATACTCAATAATAATAACCAATTCAATGAAATACAAACCTTCTTGGTAGACCACTGGACCAAGAACTTTCCATGAATTGTTAATTTCAACTTGAACTATGAACATTTGTTCGCGCCCAATGGCGAACGTAATTGGGAACGTAATTAGCCATTCCGAAGTGAACTGAGTGGAACATTTGTTCGCGCCCAATGGCGAACGTAATTGGGAACGTAATTAGCCATTCCGAAGTTGATGAGTGGACTGGGGACGAGCAAAAAGGGCCAAACTTTGTATACTTACTAATATTGAGGTGGTCTTTTTAGTGATTTAGATTTCTTAATTTGGGCACTTTTTAACACTCGTCCCCAGTCCACTCATCAACTTCGGAATGGCTAATTGGCAAGTTTGCAACGAACTTGGGACCGGCGCGTTGAAAAGTAGTGACTTGAAATCGACAATAAATCGAGGTCAAAACACGGCACATGCCTTTCAGCTTCGTGTTAACCGCGCAGACAGAACTATAAAAAACGGACTGGAACCGACTCGGGTTCTCACTTCAGTTATATATATGGAGCTCACCGGGTGGCTGTGATCTTCAGGGCATATACGAGGTCTCACTTCGAAGAGCTCTAAATGATATTTACTCTGTTACACAACCCTGACTTTCTGGTTGTAAAATCACCGTTCTAGGCTAATATCAAGTGTCTCCAGTTCTTTATACAACTCGCAATTACTACAGCCCAGATTTTCCCTGACTATACCTGGGTCGCGATTATCACGCCGATTATAACAAGTAGCACCAAACAGAGAACAAATACGCAGATCTTTTTCTACAAAAAAGAAAAACTATCAATTCTGTTGTGTTACGACGACTATTGTGATGATGATACCCAGTAGAATCAAACACAGAATGAACAGTGGCGTAGCCAGCCCGACGATTTAGTCCCGCTATGTAAATTCAAAATTATTATCATTATTCATTTCTTTAGAAATTGATTGTTTTCACAGTCAATGAACACGAAAATATTTACATAGCGGGACTAAATCGTCGGGCTGGCTACGCTACTGAGAATGAATACGATGATTTTTTTCTACAAGAAAGAAAAATCATGTCAGGACATTACTCAATAGTATGGTCTGTCAAGTACACACATACAAATCTCACAACTTGTCAACAAGATGTGTTCACAACAGGCTTGTAGCAAGCCTGCCAACAAGTTGTAACAATGCTGTTATTTTAAGAAGTTGCTACAAGGTTGTCACTCACAACTTGTTGACAAATTGTTGAATTAGTTGTTGGAACAACTTGCAACAAGTCTGTTGAGCTCAACAACCTTGTAGCGAGTTGTCAACAAGCTGGGAACAAGCAGTGCGAACACATCCTGTTGACAAGTTGTTGGAACAGCATTGCTACAAGTCTGCTGCAGGTTTGTTACAACTTGTGCGTTTTGACGTGTGTACCACTGCGTATACTTACATTTCGCTTTATCACTATATAACCAGCCAATTTTCTAAAACCGTAATTAAGTATGTATATGTGTAAGTCTGACATGTCTTAGCGTCAAACAGACAATGCTGGAGTCAATTGTAATGTTTGCATGTGCAATATTCCTTGCAATTATTCTTTATATCCCATTTGTTTGTCTAATTTTACTTATTTAGATAAATCAGGGTGCAATCATTCAAGATTTTTAGTCGTACCTGACTGGTACGCCAATAGTTGTTGCCGCGTACTTGCGCTAGAACAAACTCAGTACTCAATGTGTACTTAGTCTTTAAAAGTAAGGTTCATAAAGTACAGGTTTCTGAAAAGTATGTTCAGACTACGAGATAGCAAACGGAATTTTGCTATTTGAAAAGGGAGTTTTGCTATTTGAAAAGGGTGTTTTGCAATTTGAAAAGGGAGTCTTGCTATTTGAAAAGGAGTTTTGCTATTTGAAAAGGGAGTTTTGCTATTTGAAAAGGGAGTTTTGCTATTTGAAACGGGAGTTTTGCTATTTGAAACGGGAGTTCTGCTATTTGAAACGGGAGTTTTGCTATTTGAAAAGGGTGTTTTGCTATTTCAAACAACCGACTCCAACGTTTCTTAGTGCCATCAGTGCAATCATGTTTCATGCCAAGACATCTCAGACACATGATATACCAACTAAATTACGGTACTGAATACCTTGGACTTGGAAAGGTCATGTGCTACCAGCAAAAAATAAGTACGCAGATAGCAAGAGTTCCGCGTACCTACGTGGTACGTGACTGAAAACAAAGAAGTACCAGACAGTAATATTGGCGTACCTCCGGTACGTAAGTACGCGAATAATCGCACCCTGGATAAATTATTGTGTCGTAAATAATGTATGTTATTGCATGTTATACTGTAATAGATCATTGAAGTTTCTAATTGTAGGACCCCACTGAAAAGCAGTTTGGTGATGGGAGTATCTTGGTTAAATATAAATATAATAATATTAATATCTAGATTCAAAAATTCCCCTAGTTTAGATCAAAATGTAACCAACGTACCCTCCTTGCTTTGCTCTGATATTTAACCGCTTTCTTCGTTTCTTTTTTCGCTGACTGCACATAATCCGCAGCCTGGTCAACGTTGAATTCGATTCTGTTCACCATTTCTCCCTGGCGAACAACAAAGTCATATTTAGCAAACATGCGGTCACTACAAAAATACTATCAAACTCATTAATAATTCACAAGGAAATACTTGTATTCAATTTGATACTCAGGGCTCCAGGCATAACATTTTTAAAAGAAATCTAGATCACTATGTCTATAAACAGTTTTAGAATCAATAGAATGGACATTCAATGTCTACTTGGCTAGTGTCCAAATGTGTAACGTTTGCTGTAAGACCAGCAAGGCGCTACGATCCTACGACTTTCACAATCGCTTTTGAGACCTCTATTTAACAAAATTTATACTGTTTCCATATGACAACAATTCAATGGCATATTACAAGAATATAGCAAGTATTTTGAAGTATATATGATTCTCAAAGATGATTGTACTGTACAGAACGGGCCACTCCTTGCAAAATATGTAAATATGGCGTCGTTATTTTATGTCAGAAATTTTACCACGAAATCGAGAGAAGAAAACGCTTTTTCAGAAAATACGCCAGCACAAATTCTGTCGATGCCATTGATATGTACTAAGGTTGTTGCCCAAATTGTACAACACAACGATCGATCGATCAACACAAAGATTTTGGAAAACTTGATTTTCACTAGATATTTACGTTTGACTTGCATTGGTAACAAGTCATTTCTTGCAAGTCCAAGTCAAGTCACAAGTCATTTTGTCCAAGTCCAAGTCAAGTCACAAGTCATCAGTCTCTTTAACAAGTCAAGTCACAAGTCACAAAAATTGCGACTCGAGTCAGACTCGAGTCCAAGTCACACGACTCGAGTCTACAACTCTGTTATTGGAACTACCTACATTGGCAGAGACCATTCAAAATTACAGGGATGGATCCAGCATGATCTGGTAGGGGGTGCTCTGCCAGCTCTGGTGCCGAGTTGTGTCGGTCTTGTGTGCCGCCCGCCCATCAACTTGCTTCACTACTGCAAAGTCTTGCTTGACTACTGTATTTGAATTTGAATTGTTGTTCACAGTTCGCTTATCATCATGTTATTACTCAAATTAATATCTCATTTCGTCTCTAATATTTTTTTGCTTTATCATGAAAAATAGCACCTCCATGCACCCCCTCTGGCCAGGGCTATGGGGGGTGCACCCCCCCCCCCCCCCCCCCCCCCCCCCCCC